CCATGGGTTATGCATATATGCCTACAAGTTCTTTGGTGATCTCTTCCCGTCCACCCAACCACCTCCGCCTTCCCTCTGAGGTTCCACAGTCTGTTCCATGCTTCTATGTCTCTGGATCTATTTTGTTCATCAGTTTGTTTTGTTCATTAGATTCCAAATATGAGTGAGATCACGTGATACTATATTACTTGTCTTTCCACTATCATTCTTGCTCCCTCTTTTCCTTTTTTTTTTTTTAAGGGTGGAAAGAGCACTTATCCTGAGATCTACCATCTTAACAAATTTTCCCTCTTTTTAGTCAAGCTTTCCTAAGGAAGCTAAGTCCTCTCTCACTATCTTACTCCCTTACTGCCACTGTATTCATTAATTTACTCTAATCTTGGTTCCACCTTTATGAATTCCCCTGTTCCTAGTTCTTGAATACTTCTAAAATGCCAAATATAATCCTTACTTACCCTTTCATCAGCATTTGACACTGAGAGGAATTTTAGGAATAAAATAGGCAGGTTTGGGGGTTTTAGTCATAGAGTGTCCATGGGGGAGGAAGGCATAGGTGAGGGCTTAGAGCTCCCAGAAGGCATACATTCACAGAGAATAAAAATGTGCCACAGGAGAAGAGGAGAGGAAGACATTCACAGAAGATAAAGAAGCACCACAGAGTATGGGGGTAAATGAAACTTTCACAGAGGATAGAGAAATGTGAGAAAGAGAAAAACAGATTTTCACAGGAGATAGAGAAATGTTACAAGTAAGCGGGAGAGATGGAGGGGAGGCACCACATTGTTTTTGAAGCTGATATTCTGCAAAAAGAGTGACCAATTAGAAGAGCATAGGATCATAAAGTGAGGAGGGGATCCAACTAGAAGGGGACACGAAAGGACAAAGAACTACAGCCTTTATAAACTTTAGAAAAAAAGGAGTTTGGTGGGTTACCCCCTAGGGACCCCCTCCCTACATGGGAGTCTGTATTTGCTTCCAATAAATTTCTGCCCTTTTCACCTATCGCCTTTTGTCTGTGGCTTCATTCTTCAAATCCATCTGGACAAGGACCTGGGAAAGAAATCACCCTTGCATCCTGCTCAGGAAAACAACCCGAATCAACACTATCCACAATTCTTTTTTCCTTTGACTGCATTCTCCGGGATCTCCTACCTTTCACCACTCCTACTCAGCCTCCTTCACTGGCTTTTCTTTGGCCCCTTCTTTACATTTAACGTTCTCCAGGACTCTGGCCTTAGTCCTCATCTCTTTGACTCTGTTTTCTTTTTTAATGAGTTGGTCCATGTCTGTAATTTTGATTATCCCCAGCAACCCATGTGTTCTACCTTATCTCTTTCTTCTAAGATATAGACCTGTATTTCCAAATGGTCGACTGGATCTTTCCATGTGGATGAACTTTCTAAAGAGACCACAAACTCAGCAGCACATCATCTCCTTTCCCAATTCCTCCTCCCTCTCACTGACACTCTATTCAGTAGAGACACCATTTAATAGCTATAATAGTGTAAATAACAGCAAAGACATTTTTTAAAATACTTCATACAAACTTGACCACTAAAAGAAATAACGATTGCATTTATTTTGACATCTGTGGTCAGTCACAAATTGCATTTGGGGCTAATTCATACAATTAGCTCTAAAAAAAAAAAAAAAAGGACTGCTAAAGAACTTGATAAATAGGAGTCCATTGGCGATTGTCAAGAATGCAATTACAGTCAATTGCAACCTGATTGTGATTGGTGTAGAATTAAGGAGAAAAGAGCTGTTGCTAGTAAGAATGGACCACTCTTTCAAGTTTGACAGTGAAGAGATAAGAGAGAGTAAACGAATGCCTTTAGGGCAGTGATTTTCCACAGTGGCAGGCACACTGGTGTGTCTCAAGAATATGTTTTTTTAATTGTTGACATTATCACAGGTGTCCCCCATTCTTCCCCCTTTTATGCCACAAGAATTTTTAAAATGTGCAACACCTGACTATTTAGTCAGAAGCACTGACCTCTTTTCTCTTAGATTGTCAAATTAAAAAATGACAACAGCCAACACAACAATAGCCATCTGGTGTGAATGAAAAATTATATCATCTTATTTTTGTCAGATCACCAAAAATATATATATTTTTTTGGTGTGCCGCAGAATTTTAGTAATTAGTTTATGTGTGCCATGAGATGAAAAGGGTTGAAAACCCCTGCTTTAGGGGAAAGCAGATGTGAGGAAGTCATCTTTCAGGACAGGGAAAACTAAACAATTTTGCAGCCTGCAGGTAGGAAGGTGGTGGGGAAGGGATTAAAGAGAGCGGAAATGAGAAGATAGCAACTGAGTACTGACAACCAGGAAGAAGAGAGTGGGAAGGTCTCTGTACTTTTGTGTACATAGTCTCTGTGTAACATTTGCTTTAATAAATTAGGCCTACTTCTCATTCATTGCAGTATTGAGTAAATGATAGTAAAAAAAATTTTAATATTTACATGTGATCTTTAACCTTGACATTTATTTTGACATCTGTATAAGTTAGGCAAAAAGTGCAGTTGAGGCAAATTTGTACAATTAACTAAATCGTGTGTTCCTTTTTCCTTTCAAAATTTCCTTTATATATTCCATTCCTAATCAGTATGAAAAATCCTTTTAACTCAACCCAGATACAAGAAGTATCTTTCAATTAATACTGTTACTTTTTAATAAAACCGTATTCTAAAAATTGAACATAGGGTGCGTCATATTTCAGATCTCTATCCCACCAAATTATCTTGTTGTTTTGTTGTTACTTGCAAAATTTTCTTATGTAATGCATTCTATATCTGTGACCATATATTGTCTTCCTATACAGTTTCCAAGTTTTATGGTTTATTTAAGTTCCTTTCAAAATTTCCTTTATATATTCCATTCCTAATGAGTATGAAAAATCCTTTTAATTCAACCCAGACACAAGTAGTATCTTTCAATTAATAGTGTTACTTTTTAATAAAACCCTATTCTGAAATTGAACATAGGGTGTGTCATATTTCAGGTCTCTATCCCACCAAATTATCTTGTTGTTTTATTGTTACTTGCAAAATTTTCTGATGTAGTGCATTCTATATCTGCGACCATATATTGTCTTCCTATGCAGTTTCCAAGTTTTATGGTTTATTTAAATCAAGTGAATAAACCTAGCTTTCTGTTCTACTTTTGTGGAGGAGAGAATGAAGGGGTGGGAAGCAAAAGGTAAACAGGGCTAAGGAGAGATGGTGGAATGTCTGCAGAGAGGGGAGCCAGGGTCATTGTCCTTAAGAAAACTACAGATGTGATTCAGGGCTAGTAAGAAAGTTATTAGCACCAAGAAGGAACTCGATAGTCCTCCTTCCAGTTACTCAGAGAGGATTTAGATTGGTGTGGGGAAGATGGGAGATAACCATGCTTGGCGTTTCAGAGATGGGACCCTGATCTCCAGCTAAAAGCTTCTTACAGGGAATGAGGCATTGTCGGCAAATGATGAGTTATTTCCCTTGTGTCTTTCCTCACTCTGCCCATCTCAAAGTCTTCCCTGTTTTAGCTCCACTGCACTAACACTCCCTCCTGAACTGCACTTAGGTGAGCAGTGCACAAAATCGCTGGCAGGCAGCCTGCTGAGGCTGTGGGGGGAAGGGGCCTTCCTCCACTGCCTCAGTGGCCAGGGGAGGTGGGAGGAGCACAGGAAGTGATTGCCCTCGGGCTTCTCCTCCCACAGAAGCCCTGCCTCCTCAGGCTCTCAGGCTTGGAGAGTGGAGAGGTCAGCTTTCTCTCTCCTTCTAGTTCAGTCCTTTGGCTTATGGGAGAGACCACGCAGAAAGCGATGATGGAGTTGCTTTCTGTGCTCGACAAAAGTGCTTAGATAGAAGACAGGGACTCCCGGCTGGGAGGAGGGAGGCGAGCTGAAGATCCCTGCCTGGGCTGGCTCATCTAAGCAGGCAAAGTGGGAGCTGAGTGCTTGAAAGAGGATTGTGCTCGCACTAGAAATAAGCAGTAAGTGAGGGAATAACCATCGTGGTGTAGAAAAGGCTTAATCCCCCTGGGGTTATGGGGTGAACTGGGAAATAGTGCTTAACTCTAGAGTAAAACTGTAAGAAATCTGACTGCGTACAGTTGTGTGCTGTTTGGAGACTAGGGGTTTAAATACAGAATCAGAGCTCTAATTTCCTCCTCCCACTTTTGGAAAATGCCAACTTCTGCTTTCAGTAGTTGGGGCGATACTCTCCTTTCCTGACCCCGCCTCTCGCCAGGAAAATGTACTACTATATCAGATAAAGAGTTGGGATTAAATTGGAAAGGTGGGATGCTGGTATTGGCAGAAACTGCAACTTTGAATTATGTTCTATGAATTCGGATATTTTTGTATCAATTAGCACTGATTTGCTAATCACAAGAAAGTCTGGGGTGGGGCATTAAAAAGGGAAAGCTGGGAGCTTTTAGGACAAAGAAGCTGAGTAGTCCTTATGTGTGGGATGAGATATAAAAATGCATATAATTAATAGGTTTGTTTTTTTTTTAAAGCATTAAGCTAGAACAGCAGTCAGAAACATTGTGCAGGTGGGATGCTGGTATTGGCAGAAACTGCAACTTTGAATTATGTTCTATGAATTCGGATATTTTTGTATCAATTAGCACTGATTTGCTAATCACAAGAAAGTCTGGGGTGGGGCATTAAAAAGGGAAAGCTGGGAGCTTTTAGGACAAAGAAGCTGAGTAGTCCTTATGTGTGGGATGAGATATAAAAATGCATATAATTAATAGGTTTGTTTTTTTTTTAAAGCATTAAGCTAGAACAGCAGTCAGAGAACATTGTGCTTGGATAAAAATTAGTTAGAAAAGAAGAAATTTTTGTTTCAATGACTTTTTGTGCTAGCCTAAATTTTCACAATATTTACAAAGACAAGACAATGATTCAGGGATATTCCCATTATTGCCATACATTATAAATACTATAGCTGGGCAAGATCTGTGGTTCTCTGCTCAGCAAGTTCTGGCAATGAAGCCACTGCCTCTGGTGCAAAGAATTCTGGGATGTCTCACAGTGACATGGATGGAAGGACCCACATTCCATCTCTACTTAATGTCCTTTTGTCCAGAAATCGAGTCATGCAAATGAGCTACTTGGTACGTATACAGATCAATATTTGGAAAAGCATTTCTAAACGTTTTGCATTAGAGGGTCTCTGGACAATATCGTATGGCAACCAGGGGACTAAAAGGATATAAAGCCAAGTGATAGGAAGGAAGTCAGCTTGGTTGAAACCGCCCTTGTTCTCTTTGTTTTCCATTAATCCTGAAATGGTTCCTCAAATGAGGACAAGAATAACAATAGAGAGAAGTACTGTGGCCATCTGTTCTGTTCTAAGTGGCCAAATTCATTAATATATGAATGAGACTGTATTTATGCATCCTAATACTTGAAGATTCAGAAGTCTCTTTATTACACACATGAAAACACACTCACACACACACACACACACACACACACACACACTCACACACACAAACAACCTAGAAAAATAGTAGGTACATTTATTGAGGAGGAAATGTGGAAATCTGGTTTTGAAATGTTATTGGGGGTGGGGGGGGAGACAAGAGTCATGTCCCACACTGTAAACAGATTTATGTCATGTTTCATAAAGGATATCATTTCCTCCCCCAATGAGATGGGGATTCTAATATGGTACAGTAGGTGCAAACATAAGAAACATTTTCAATTCCCTTAATTCTAGTCAATGTAGTTAATACCTAAAGAAGGAATTGTTTTTTAAAAAATAATAACTTTGAAATATAGCTAACTGTATAGCAATTTCTTTTTTTCCCCTTTTGTTACTGGTCCTCTATAGAGGTCTTTAATTTGTGAAATTAGGAAGAAATATGTCATTTCTTCAGCAGGGCATTGCAAGAAAGAATAAAAAAGACTCAGATAAATGATCTTTCTCCTATCAGCACAACAGTAAAATGGTTGTCATGATCTATATCCTTTTCTGATGTTAGAATTTTTCTATGGGGTAGGTAGAAGGAGAATGGTCATTGGGGGAGAAATGATAAAATGCTAATAAGTTCATTTTTAAAGATGGTCTGTACTCTTCTAACTTTTCAAACTAATTCTGAAAGTTATTTATCTTTTTAAAATTATTTCTGAGTTGTTTTTACAATGTTAGTTTTTAACTGGTTTATAAGCAAATGTGTAAAAAATCTAAAGATTTTTTTATCTGAGTTGCAGGATACTGGTCTTATTCTTAAAAATATATAAGGGATTAAAATAAAACATTTAATAGTTGAAGTCTTAAGCCTAGTATTACTAACTGCAGTTTTGACCTTTAAGAAAAATGTGCTCCAGACTCTTAAAGGAATTACTTATATTAAAGTATTAAAGAATCTTTTCTAAAACTACAGAATAAAAAAAAAAGAAGCATAACAATTCAGAGAAGAATAAAGATGTAATTTGTATGGAAGAGGCTAAGCAAAAAATACTTAATGAATAATTATAAACCAACAGCTTAACAATAAAACATTTGCGATTGTCCATGAGAAACTGACATGAAGAATAATGTATTATGACTAGGGAACAGTATTAAGTGGGATCTAGATTATTAATGGAAACAAACTAAATGATCATTTAAAATTATTCTTTCACAAGAAAAGTAAAGAAAAAGGATATGGAAAACTAAGCAGCGATGAAGACCTCGAGATAATTGTTGATCAAAAGCAGGTAAGTGAATGCTTACATACATTTTCTACTGTTTCACTGTAGAGTTTTGACAACTGAAGCCTTTGAGCATTCAGCCCTTCCCTAATCGAGGAGGCCTGTCTAACAAGATAGATTTTGAGAGTTACTAAGCTTCCCCCCATGATGCCTCTGATCCACTGACTTTTGTATGTCAGGGTGTAAGAATAGTGAAAAATAAAGCAGAACAAGAAGAGAGAACTTTTGGAAAATTAAAAGCCCCCTTTGAAAAATGAATCAAAACAACAATGATAATTTGGTTAGCAAAATAGATTTAAGCAAGAATCAGAAAGTGTATTTGTTTGAAAATGAGAAATGCTACCCTTAGTGTAAAACAATGAATATGATTTAGGGAGAAGGAGATAAAAGACTTTAAAAAAACTGAAAAGTTTAAATATGTCTATCTAGATAGATAGATAGATTACCCAATTTAGTTTCTCAGCTAGTCTCCAATAAATTTAGAGATGATGTTTAAAAAACAAAATGAAGCTATTTAAGACCTGTAATACTGCCTATAATTTGAGAAACATCTAGCTTGGGTTTTATATGGGCCCATAAGGTGAAATTGAAAACTGCTTAATAGACCAAAAACAATGACACACCAGGTAATGGAAGGTATCCAGCTTATGCCACTGAATTGGCATCAGCCCTTAACGTCTTTGTTAATTGTCGGGGAGACAAGCTAACTGCACATTCGCTTAATGTATAAGTGGCATTGATTCTGAGGGTGATGTAAACTCAGGTGGAGATAAATAATTCAAAGCGATCTGAGCAGATGAAGAGGTTAGAAAGACAGCAAGCTACAGGAAGGCAAGTTGAATTTGGACAATTTCCTAATTGTGCATTTGTTTTGCATCGTGGTGATTGCACTCAAGGAGCAATTGTGTATATTTCTGAAAGGGAAAAATGACCGTCGGAAAATAGCAGCCAGAAACAGTTAACTTAGAGACTTGCTTGTCGGAGTGGGATAACTGAGGTAACTGAAGTGATCTAGGAAAACTGGCCAAATAACCTCCATAAACAACCTGCAAGTTTTTCTTGCCTTATCTTCACTTTCTGGCTCCTGAATAATATACGGGCCAGAGAGTGTTTGGCCCTGTCTTTCTACTTAGTGCCAAATTGTCAGTTTCGTTAATAAGGTAAGTGGGACTGGAGCCTGATTGCTCCACCGGGCTATTAGGTCTCATTTGAACTATGCCAGGATTAGTACTTGGGGCACGCAATCTCCATCTCCCACAGCCTGGCATTCTGATCCGAGGACCAGCCCTACGTGGTGAATGATGCCATTCAGCATCTGATGAGCATATACATGTCTATGCGTTCTCTATTAAAACAAAAAGTTATGACTTAAATTCTTTCCTAATCATGTGGCAGGTAAATTCTTACTCTTTTTTGTATTTCTTTAGTTTCATCCTACCCCAAGGCTGCTTTTCTTTCTCTTTTTTCCCCCTCTAAAGCTTCTTTTTGTTTTTAACTGAATTTGGGGGTTCCGAAAACTATCAAATTGTACATGGAGATCTTCGGAGTGGAAAGCCCAAGGGAGTCATGGGCTTTATCTCATGGTACCTTCCATAAAACTTACGTTGGTGTGCCCAAACATATTTTACTAACTGTTAAGGAAGCTTCAAAAAATGAGAGAGAGAGAGAGAGAGAGAGAGAGACCTACTTTACTGCTTTTTCAGAAAACAGCACTTTCCATACCTGAATCAAAGGAGGGAGAGTTTTTTGGTCCAGTCATTGTTTGCCTCTGTGGTTATCACATTTCTTCCGGTGCCATTGTGCCTGTTGGCACCCGCTGGCAGGGGCCCAGCTCTGCTGAATCATTCATGTCAAACATGTTTCAAAAGATGAGTAATTATGAATATGACTTGGCATTGGTGTTTGCTGTTGGCTCTAAGAGTAGTTCTTCCTTTTGGGGCAGTTTGTTTAATGTTGATATTGTGAGTAAATCCCAGGTCGGACCAATGACAGTGTTGCTACCTGTAAGTAAAATATTTGGGAAAACACTCTAATTAGTCTTTATAATTCTACAAAAAAATTCTTCCTGAATATAAGAGATCAACATTAAAGGTATGTGTGTAAAATGCATGTTTAATATTGCTTCATCTCGTAGATTATATATATTATTGATATGTAATATTATTTTATGTATTGATATATTATATTACATATAATATATATTTTATATATAGTATATATACACACACTATTGGAGAGGAATCTTAATGTTCAATTTATTCTTCCTGTCTTTTCAGAAACAGGCTAGAAATATGTTAGTCAATCTTCATATAATTGCAAATAGCTTTTTCAGTAAATGGTGCCAAAAATCTAAAGATTTTAAAAAGTAGTTTGAGGCTGTGATGGGCAGAAGTCTACTAATCTCATTAAATCTGTCCTTCAGAAGCTGTCACTTCACAAATGCTGTGCAAGCTATGTGCCATTTTATCAGCCGTGCAAGTCTGGTACTTCCACAGAAAGCCCCAGTTTTGCTTATATAAGCAAATTAATAACAGAAGCAGTACAGAGTATGTGCATTTTGTTCTCCCAGGCTGCCCACATTCAAGGGGGTAAAGGTTATTTCTGTGTTATTTCTGCATAAGAACAGTAATTTTGAAAATGTCTAAAGTTCTATTGTTAAATGGTAATATTGTGCTTCTTTGTAAAATTTTATTGGGAAAGTTTATTTGAGATGCATATAAAACATTTCAAAAAATTCTTAGATTAGTGTTGATATCCTCAAATAATAGGTGACATAATATGTAATCACACACACACACACACACACACACACACAGTCATTTAAATATAAAAGTGTTTTCACACACTTATATTTATACTGGTATCAGAATCCATATTCTCCACAAGAAAATCCTTAAGGTTTTTTTTATTATTTTTAAATACCTTTTTATTGATTTCAGAGAGAGGAAGGGAGAGAGAGAGAGAGATAGAAATATCAGTGATGAGAGAGAATCATTGATCGGCTTCCTCCTGCATATCCCACACTTGGGACCCACAACCTGGGCATGTGCCCTGACTGGAATTGAACTGTGACCTCCTGGTTCATGGGTCAATCCTCAACCGCTGAGCCATACCAGCTGGGCCCTAAAGCTTTTAAACTCGAAGTCTAGGAAGGTAATCAAAGGAAACATATTGGATTAAAATCTTATTGACTCTAAGATCCAGCTATTTGACATAAAATACATATACTGTTTATTGTAATTACATGTAGAAATATAGTTATTCTATATAAATTATCTATATATAAAAGCCTAAGCAACCAAATGACCAAATGACCAGTTGACTGATTGCTATGACATGCACTAACCACTAGGGGGCAGACACTCAATGCAGGAGCTGCCCGCTGGTGGTCAGTGTGCTCTCACAGCCAACCTCCTGCGGCCTGATCAGCCCCGATCGCCAGCCAGGCTGAGGGACTCCACCCATGCACGAATTCGTGCCTCGGGCCTCCAGTAATATATATAATTAATGAATTATTGCTTTCTAGAATAAATATTAAAAGAAAAAATTTAAATATCTATTTTGGATCATTTTTGTTATTTATTTAAATAGTCTCTCCTGATTGGCAGGGGTGGATCTTGTTGAGGAACAGGTTTCATGCACACATGAGTTTCCTTTTCCAAGTTACTGAGATTTTAGAGGTGGGATTAAAACATTAACCACTTTGAATAAATAACAAATTCATTATGTTTTAAATTATTATTTTTAATTAGAGTCCATTTCATTCAAGGTTTATAATATGCTGAAACTAAATAGCGCTTTTTCTAAAATGTTTTCAGATTCCAAGTAGACTTAAGGGAGGTAACAAAGACCAACACAGAATTATAGAATATGATGATTATATGAAGGCTATACTTACAAGTTCAAGTATTTCAGAAATGGGTTTGACAGTGTGCTGTGGATCTGGTTGGTTATAGGACTCAGCATTGCAGCAGCGTATTCTTTAGTGCAAAGTGTCAGATGTCAGCCAGTTATAAGGGGAACAAGAAACTGAACATGGATGAAAGCAGTGGTTCTCAAAAGTTAGCAGCCTCACAACCCCCGGGCAGCCTTTTGGAGCCCAGAGTGCCGGGCCCAGCCTCAGTTTCCAGTTCTGTAGGTCTTGGGTGGGGCCCAAGAATTTTCATTTCTAAGTCCTCAGCTCCCACTGCTGGACCACACTTTGAGGCCCACTGAGTCAAAGGAGATAATTATTGCAGTTCTAAAGAGAAAACAACATATATGGCTTGTGATAAATTTGGCATTGTTTAACGGGGCATTGCCTGGGAATCTAAAATCCAGAATTCGTAGACATCCAACAAAATAATGCTGAAAACAAGAAAACTACAACCATTCACATCCAAAGTTGCCTTTAAAGACCCAGGTTTACAGTCTGACTGAATTCCACTTGGTAGCCTTGTGCTCTCGAACCTTCTCTAATTTGTAAAATAATACTTTGCTCTTTCTATCTCCTACCATTTCTTTGAGATAAAATTTGTAATAGTACTCTGTTAACTGTAGATCATTGTCATTTTTTAAAATATATTTTATTGATTTTAGAGAGGAAGGGAAAGGGAGAGAGAGAGAGATAGAAACATCAATGATGAGAGAGAATCATTGATTGGCTGCCTCCTGCACATCCCCTACTGGGGATCGAGCCCACAACCCAGGCATGTGCCTTTGGCCGGAATCGAACCTGGGACCCTTCAGTCCACAGGCCAGTGCTTTATCCATTGAGCCAAACCAGCTAAGGCAATCGTTGTCATTTTAATTAGCTAGTCATTACCACCTATATTCATCTACCTCACCTGCCATAACAAAATACCATAGACTTGGTGCTTAAATGACAGGCATTCATTTCTCCCAGTTCTGGAGGCTGGAAAGTCCAAGATCAAGATGCTGGCCCATCCTGAGGGTTTCAGGCAAGAGCCTGTTCCTGGCTGCCTTCTCTCTGCATCCTCACATGGGAGAGAGAGAGAGAGAGAGAG